CCTGGCGGAAGGCAGGCCTTGGTGGCGGGCTTGAGTTGAGCGAGCGTCTTCTGCGCGTGGCAGTTGCCGTGAACGGTTGTCTCTAGCGTGGGTCCTCGGCGCGTGGTACCGCGGGCCTGCGCGCCGGGGGCCCACGTGGTAAGTCAAGCGTTGGCAACACCACCTTGGGTATGTTATTGTGTGTTTGTTATGTTTTGGAGTGTATGGTAATTTTGTGTAATGATGACTTAGCGTGTTGATAACGATTTATGTATCATACGGCGGACGATATCGTCGTTATAAATTAGTTAAATAAATGTATGTTGTTTGGTTTGTACCGACCGCGTCTGCTGTGTCAGTTCACTCCAAGAGCATGGTGAGGCGCTCGCCTCGTCAAAACCCCACAGGGTTTAACGTCGCAAAACCACCATATGATTATGAGAGACGCCATACTGAAGACTCCGGAAATTTCTACCAACTGGGGTTTTTTAACGTGCACCAGCAAGTGTAAACCATGACACCATTACGAGATACGCCGTCAAAATCATTTCTCACAACCCATGACGCAAAAAAGAACACAGGCCTACAGCATTCTCGCCTCCATCAAAAATGCAGCCGCCGCAGCTGGAATTCGATCCCAGGACCTGTGGGTACATTGCAATAACTGCCATGTAATACCGTATTTGCATGAATATAACTTGAGTTTTTTTCCAAAAATTAGCCAGTGAAAAAGGCACCTCGCATAATATTCGTGTTTGTGACAAAAAATGGCCCAAATATAGCGCGAAACATTTTTGAGCCTTCTTTTTTCTTTTAAATATTCGTCCTGGTAACTTGCGCCGCACATTCCAGAAACTTTGTGGTTTTGTCGCCCCATGTAGCACATTTTATTCCAGCTAGCGCCTCGAGTGACCGCACGTGGAAAGGCGCTAGCTGGAAGCACTGCCGCTCAGTGCCCCGACGACGCGTGCGCCACTTCGGTATGCTGCGTCAATCGCATTCTGCGCCAGCGCTGCTAGCGTCATTGCAGCTCCAGTGGCGACACATAGATAACAATCATTCCGGAAAAACGTCTCCTTCCTACACCTCGCGGTCGGTCGTCGCTGTGTTCTTTCTTTCCCATTGCCCGTCATCATGAACAAACGCAGCCAATACACTGCCGCGTTCAAAAAAAAGGCGATCTTTCTGGCCAAAGATGGGGGAAATTCAAGTGCGGCACGGCATCTCGGAGTGACGGAGTCTACTAATTGAGGTTGGAGGAAGTTCCAAGATCGCATTTTCTAAGGTGCACCAACACGTAAGACGTTCCGTGGGCCCAAGACTGGCCTAACCAGGAAATTGAAGCAGACCTGGCAAAACTCGTGGGCCAACGTCATGGCCAGTTTCTGCCTGTGAACTCGTAAAGATTAAAGCAAGGAAGCTTGCACGTGAGGCCAGCATGCCCTGTGACACCTTTAAAGCCAGTTGCTCATGGGTACAGAAGTTCATGCATCGCACGAGCTTCTCGCTTCGCCGAAGGATTTCAATTCGCGAGAAGCTTCCGGCCGAGTATGAGGAGAAACTCGTTGAGTTTCAGCGGTACATCATCAAGATGAGGAGGAAGAAGAACTGCCCCGTAGGCCAGATGGGTAACGCGAATGAGACCCCGATATTTTTTAACATACCGGCTGGCTATGTAATCAATGAGCACGGCACGAAGGAGGTGCATGTTTGCACAAGGAGTAACGAAAAGACCCGGGTGACGGTGATGCTGGTGTGCATGCCGGATGGGCGCAAGCTGCCGCCATTTCTCATATTTAAGAGGAAGACTCTGCCCAAGAATGAGATATTCCCACACTGGATGCACGTCAGGTGGAATGATAAGGGCTGGATGGACAGCACCATGATGTCTGAGTGGATCCGTGTTGTCGGGGGAAGACATCCGGGCGCAATTCTCTCTCCAGCTTTGATTGTGCTGGACGCATTTAGTTAGAGGCCACTTGACCGATGAGGTGAAAGAAGCTCTTGGCAAGGCCAACACTGACCTTGTTGTCATTCCTGGAGGAATGACGTCGCAGCTCCAACCACTGAATTTCTGCATTAATAAGCCTTTTAAGGGCCTCGTACACCGGGAGTACGAGCCTGACTCCATCGGGTCGCATGAAGCGAGCTTCAGTCAGTGAGGTCGCTTGATGGATACACAATGCTTGGGAGGCCTTGCCGTTGGCAATAGTGTCACGGCAATTCTTGAAGTGCAGCCTCTCGAACAGTCTGGACGGCACGAACGACGACGCGGTTTTTGTCGACAGTAACAAAGACTCTAGCACCGATGATGAATGATCAGGCAAGCCGGTGATTATAGCATTTTTTACTGCTGCAAATATAACGAAAGCCGTGTGGGCGTACACTCTTCGATTGCTGTTTACAGTTGCATCACCTCCCGGTATAATCGTAATAAACTTTTTTTTTTTCCGTTGAGACCTATAGTACTCCCCTCGCGTTATATTCGTGGTCGCGTTATTTACGTGCAAATACAGTACTTTGTATATATTAAAGTACAATACTTTTTTCGTTTACTGCTTAGGCTAAACACTGTAACATATGTACGATATACTGAGCTATTTCTTGGCGCTAAAGCTTCGACTGCAAGGCAAACCACACGTACATAAGAAATTTCCAGTTCAACACTTCAAATTGTCTTTAAAAGGCCAGTCAACAAGCTCCAACTTTTTTTGGACACCCCCCCAAACAAGCTCGGTAATTCGTAGAGCAGACCGCAGCGATCACGTTTTCTGAATGTTACAGAGCTGTGCGCCGCGCACAGCCTCTATTTTGAAAAACAATTTCCGCGCTCCTTTCCTACGCCCGACTAATCATCTTGCACGTGCAGTGACGACAACTCGGCGATCAGCGACGTGACGCAGCACGCAGCTCGTAGATTGGTCTAAACCAGGTCTTAAAAACAGTAGTGAAGTCAACGACAGTTCCTGTTCTCACCCATAGCTATGACAGAGCTATATAATTATCCGTGCATCCGAATCGGGACACTTCACTGACCCAGTCTTTGAGAGTGAGTAGATTGTCGCGCCACCTGTTGATAGGCACACCCACTATTAAGCGCATTATTAGCGATTTGTGTTTTGTGTTGCTGCTCCCAGATGGCACGGCAGTCTGCTCCCAAAAATTAAACTCCAGGAAAATCGGGCCAAGTTTATGTGCAGGTTTTGGAACGCAGTTTTGCTGCAAATCGTTGTTGGCTAAAAATCGAGCGACTGGGCTGCAGAGAAGTATCGGCACCGGGTAAACGAAAAACAACCAAGCATCGCAGCAAGCGGAAGTGTTGCGACAGATCGAGTTCGCCGATGACGTCAATCGCTGACATCTTGTCACATTGCCGAAGTGGGTGGAGTCACGACGACGGGCCACGCCTTTTCTTCCTCTGAAGCAGAAGGGTGGCCAGACCGCGCAAAAATTTGAAACCAGCTGAACGTGATGTTCTAGCCCCTGTAACTTTCTCAATATAGCACATATTCGCAAAACTGTTGCAGCAGCATGTTCACGAAGTAAAAGTGCACATATTTCTATTTACAACAATTGTTGGACCTTGGGGTTGTTTACTAGCCTTTTAAGACCTCTTATAATGCGGTCGAACCTACTTATGTTACCTTTTTTAACAACACACTGTAAATCATAATTATCAATAATAGCACTGAGTTTTTGTTCCTTTTTTTATAATAAGATATACCACTTAATAAAATGTTCCTATGCCGTGTTATCAATTAAAACAAATTAAACAGTTCCTGAATGTCTGCGCATACATTAGGCGACCGTAAAGTTTGTTTGAGTGCCTTGAATGATGCTCTTTCCTAGCATTTGGTGTGCGGAGAACAGCGATGAAGACACTAAACGAGTGCCTTCCTCGCAGAGGAGACAAATGCACCAGCAAGCAAGCACTATGTGAAGTGTCCGCTACCGCAATGCCGGCATACGGTGGAGAAAAGGGGAGGTGACGTGCACAGAAGCCCTACGCTTAGGTACCGTGTACCCACCATATGTTGATTTTTTATGTTCAACTTAGGGCAAACCAATGTATTTGTTTGTGCAGTTTCAATGAGCATTTATTACTATTCAACTGATTTCAATGATTATCTTGAGTGTTAAAAGGCCTTTCAGTGCACTACTTGTTATACACACATGCACTTTCTTTTTCTTCTGCTTTGCTCCCCAAACAGAAATAGATATAACCGTACAAAGAAAAAAAAAGTAAAGAAAGATAACATTATAATATGCAGGTTTCACATCCGAAAACTACAATACGATTAAGAGACGGCGTAGAGGAGAACTCTGGAAATTTCGACAATTTAGTGCTCTTCAATGTGCACTCACATCGCACAGTACATGGGCTTCTACCATTTCACCTCCACTATAATGTGACTGTCATGAGGGAAGAAGGAAAAAGCGTAAGCGCGAAACGTAGAGAGAGAGACAAAGAAAGGGGAATTTGACGTAAAATCGTGTAACAATAGTAATGTCACATGTCCCTGCCAAAAGCTCGTAACACTAGCTAGCCATGCGACATGTTCCCACCATACCCATTTGGGGGGGACAGCTTCTTCTTTGAGAGTACAAACACTAGCACCGCTGTTGATCCCAGCCTTGAACATTTAGTACAATCTGCACATATTTTTTCTTTAATTTTGTTTCAAAGTTTTAGAAACTTAGGGACCATTTCACTCAATGGTGAGTATAAGGTGCTTTGCAAGAAACTAGATGTTATAAGGTGCTAGTGCAGTGAAAAAACAGAAGTTTTTGCTCCCATGTCCATGCTACATGTGCTACACATCCTTATCATAGAGCCAATTTTGCAGCCTTTCAAAGGAAATATTTCAATACTAATCTTCAATATTTATTACATTTTTACACTATTACTATTACAAGTGAGTTTGATTGCATGCTATGACTATAGTTGAGCAAACTGCATGCTGCACTAATGGGCCAGATGAGGGATAGCGCTAACTACTGAAAAAAACATCACTGCGCACCTTTCAGATGGCGGCGAATTCTGCACAGGCGCACTGTGCTTTTTCGCGGTGAAGACTCTGTGCAAAAGCAAGCAAACATAAGACAGGAAGTGAACATCTAGAAGCTCTTCAGGATGTATGTCTAGCGAAAGAATTGACTGTATCAACACTGTATCATACGTCATACCCAAAACACCTTAAAAAATGTGGCAGCAACTGTGCAGACAATGTTCTTACACACGCTAAAATAAAACCAAAACAACCATCGAGCTGCAGTAGCTCAACAGGTTACACAACTTACTTTCGGTACCGGTTTCGTCGGACATAAGGTGGTTTTCTGTTTAATGGCAACAGAAAAAGAAAAAAAGGCAAAGGTAAGTAGCTGAGATTTTGTCGGCCATAGTCATTAGCCACATAGAACTCTGATTCAATGATGCATCCCTTCTACAGATGAGAGACAAATAGCTTATAATTAGGCCTGAATGCATATTCATGTGCTTCGAAGATTCAAACGTCTATTAAGGAATTCAAACTAAATTTGACAAAAATTTAAAATTTTTCAACTTTTGACGTACAATGAATAGCGATGTTTTTAACCCTGTAACTCTGCTTGAAAAAAATGGTTTCACTGCATCATGAGGCTGCAATGCCATGAAACCACTTATACAAGAGAATCTGCACTGTCGAGAAGCCACACTTGCTGCTTATAGCTTGCACTCTACTATTATTGATATCCCGTTGTTAGTATTCAAGTTTGCATCAAATTTATTCCGTAATAATTACTATCTTTGGCATAAAACAAGAATTGATAATCGCACAAGCCCAGCAATTATTGTCATTTCTTTAATCAGAACTGATATGTCTGATTAAAAACTAATGACTTAAATAACTGTGAGCATAAAATTAACAAGCGCTGATCATTCCCATACAAGTGAACTAAGGGTGTCCCCCTAAGCTTGGCACTGTAAATGTGACAATGTCTCATTGCACCGCTCGGTAGTAACATTTGCAATGCCCTCCCTAGTGTACTTGTACTATCAGTGATGCTCTTGATGTTTTAACACCATGGCATTAAAAAGCTCTTTTCTCAGAAATTCCGGCATCAGCGTCGTTCGTTGTGAGCAAAAAATCACCTTGTGCGTGACAGAAAAATAGAGAAAGGTGCAAATAAAATAAATAAAATAAAACACTCCGAGTCCGAATGAGAATAGATCCCAGGTTGTTTGCGTGGCAAGCAGGTGATCTACCACACAGCCACGCGTTTGTTCGAGAATACAGTCGAACACTTATATCGAACCCACATATATAGAATTTTCGAGTGTATCAAACTCGTAAGTTATCCCCTTGAAATTCTTTTGTAAAAGTATGCAAATTTGCACATTTATATCAAACAGAATTTTTACCCGCCTTCGGATATACCGAATGCCGCACTAGCTGGAAGGTGCACTTCGGCTCTCGCAGCGCCCTGCGCTCTCCGAGGCAGCACGGCTTCGCACGCGAGTTGGAAGGCGCATTTTGGCACCACGCCTCCGTCAAAACTTGAAACGCTCGAAAAAAGGTAAGGGCGTGAGGGTTCGGACTGCACAATTTCTAACTTGCAGAACGACATTTTTTTTTCGTTTTTCTTTCTCTCTCTCTCTCTCTCATTCTTTCTCTGCCTACCTGTCGGCTCGGAGAGCAGGAACAAAGGAGCAGACGTCCTCCTCCTTTCGCCTTTTATTTTTTTGTTACTGTTTTGCGAGGTTTGATCAGCCAACCACTATTCGATTCGAACCTGAAATTCACTATTTGCACAAGCCTAATACATAGCCATTGGGCATCAAAACATTGATTATAACAACTTCAGGGTTTAAAGCCAACCACCCATTACTACAGGCGCACATGTTAGTGTGCGTATTGCATAGTGGGTACGTTGCTAAGCACCCACTATGTGGGTGCGTAGCAAGCTTGAAAAGATGTACACACAATTCAGAGCTGGAAGCAGACTTTAGCATTTTGGAGCAGCTCAGGCAACAGGAATAATGCTGTTTTGGAGCAGCTTTGGCACAGTAAAAGGGGAGTTCTGGAACAAGTTTGGAGCACCAAAAGGTGTGGTTTTGAGCAATTCAAGTTAGTTTTCGTTCCCTAAACAATCCATACTAATGAGCTAGGCTTACTACCCACAGAATTGTGTATGTTCCCATCATTAAACATTGCAGTTGACATAGAATTAGGAGAAAACAAGAAACAAGCGATCCTTGTCTTTTGTTTTCATGACCTCTTAATAATCGTAGTGCACTCAGTTTGGTACAAGTTTGTTATCCCAAACACTAATTAAACACACTACTCTGCTCATCTGTGTTCGGTCTAGAGCGGAGTGGGGGGCAATCAATTCACACAGCAAATCAGCATGCACAGAACACAGCAAGCCGCCTAGCAGCGACGGCATGGGCAGCATAGGCGCCATGCTGCACGAAACTAACCAGGAAATGATATCCACGTATAGGTGGCTCACTTATGAAATATATTTTGAGCTTTGGACTCACTCGAACTCGGACTCAGCAAAATTTCTCCGGGCCGAACTCACTCGGGCGCACACTCATGAAAGTATTGCTCACCCAGACTCGCTCCGACTCAGGCTCACGGCTCGATCAGAGTCTGAGTGAGTGAGGCTCTACAGGATCATCACAGACCGAAATGCCAGCTCCTCTGCATGTCTGAGGTTTGCAGCCTTACTGGTGGCATATATTGTAGCAAAAAGCAGGAATTCGAGAATACAGTCAAATCTCTTTAGAAGAGACACTGACGTAGAAGACAAATGGGTATAAGAGAAATCAGTAAAATACGGGTTGATAATAAAATGCATACGTGGAATCCTGCTTACAAGAGACATCTCATGTAAAAATAAGACAAGAATTGCTGCCTGGAGCATGCCCCTTATAAAAGGGTAAACTAAGCGTATTCAACATTTCATATATTTTTCTAATATTGTTTGCTATTTGATTTGATTAGCACTAGAATTTTTACTATTTGAACTTACCAATGACAGATATAGTCAGCGTCTCATTAAAGGGGCCCTGCAACACTTTTTGAGCATGGTCAGAAAACACTGCCGATCAGTGGTAGAGGCTCCCGACAGCACGTGAGCCAAATATTATAGTACAGCTTGCGGCCTGGAATTCACAATAGGTTATCAAAGTCGGCTAAAAATAGCTTTCTCTTCTCTCGACAAATCACGGATTAAGCCCAGTAAGCCCATCTACCTGCCATTGGCTGATTTGAACATGGCGCGCTCGGTTGTTACAGAGGTCGCCGCAAGAGGCCGTCACTTGTCCACGCATGCGCGTGCGATTGCACAGAAAAAGCTGCGTATTCGAAAAAAAAAAAAAATGTTCAGGGTCACGATGCGCCAGTGACTGTTTTGTTTGCCCCTCCCATCCCTCCCTGCGCAGCTTCCAGAGCTTTTGTCGGGACGAGAGAAGAGAAAATGTGGTTCCAGCGTGTGAGAAATCTTTGTAACTCCGCTCGTACTGGACGGATTCTTAAAATTTTTGCGGGGTTAAATTTGTGAGGTAATACGCTTCTATAGTGAATTAATTTCATGGTTACTCAAAAAAGTGTTTCAGAGTCCCTTTAGGATTGACCCCTTCAGACCTGTAATATGCTTCAATTGCCTTTCAGGCACCGCTACAGTCGCAAATATATTGATTTAAAAAAAAAAAGCTGGTTCCAACATGGAGATCATAGATGTGGCACAGGTGAAGGCTCAATCAATGGCAATTTTGTGCCTGAAATTTGGGCAATAAGTTCAAAAAATCAGACACGAAAGATTTGTAGCATCCTAAATTTCTTGCATGTTGACGTCTACAAGGCAAATTTGGAACTTCTAACTAGTAGGCCACATCAGTTGGGCTTCCACAGAAGTTGAAAAAGGAGGAGAGATTCAAGAAATTGCATCTTTGCCTTTCAGGAGTAAAGTGTTGTAAGCAATGCTTTGGTTGCACCAAATCATGTACTAATACAATTTGGCTTTTGCATTGCCTCATTCTTGTTAAGCGGGAATGCGGGTTTTAGAACGGTCTAAAATGGTCAAAAAATCAATTTTTCGCAAATCTTACTTTCAGGGCATTTCTACTTCTGTGCCCATACTCTCAACATGCTAGCGCTGAATTTGGTCAAGAAACGCGATAAAACCGGCCTTTAGTGCACCCTGGTCGCACTAAAATGCCCCCAAAATGAACGAAATTTGTTCGAAATTCCCGCGCGTGCCATGTGCGTTGCAGCGGACCGAGCACCGCCATCTTGTGCTTGATTTGAAGCTGTTTTCTTTGTGCCCATTTTGCGCAATCTCAAAATGGTGTCACTCAAGCGGAATGGCTGCCGTTACGGGTTTTCTGAAGGTCGTTTCCAGATTGCCGATTGGCTCTCACAGGGTGCCCTTTCAAGTGTGCCTTTCCGAGTCTTCCATTGGCTGGCGTGACCATGGCTGTCCAATTGTGAGCATCTGCAACACCATGGCTGTCTGTTTGTGAGCATCTGCTTTTACTATTATGCGTGTTTCTTGATGCACCGCATTTGCGCTTTGCACCAGTACTTTTTTAGCGCGATCGAGATGCCTGGAGACTCTCGTCTGAAACCATAAACCTGACGAGCTTTTGGAAGCCATAAAAAACGATCTTAGAACAAGAAGGCGCCGGCTACAAGTGCGCCTTTAGCAGACAAGTTGGAGTCGTGGCCGCACCCGTTGGATCTGCCAGAAACTTTAACGAGGCTGTCTACTGACGACGCCATCGGACCAAGTTCGGCATGCGATACACTTCGAACTGATGCTGCGTACTACTCAACAAGGGAGCAGCCGCAGCGAGTTGAGAAATCAGTGCAAACGAGTACCGTTTAGTTGGGGAAGTCTGCTACCAAATGAAAGTCTGACCTCCTTGGAGTCGGCGCTTATAGCCTTCAGCATCTGATTTTCGACAGCACCTACACAGCTAACGAGCTCAGAGTTGATGCGAGCACTGATGACACTGTCATCGGTGAACAGCGACAGCATGACGTGTAGCTGAAATTGAGGCAGACATCGCCGCGGGCAAGTGGAATGCCGTGCAAAAAAAAAAAATAGGAGACTTTTTGGGCTAATGTGTTGACAACTGAGGTAGCACCAGCCACATCGTTTTTTTTTTTTTTTTAATAAACGGCTCTTTTCAGAGCCACCTAAACAATGCATTTGCAAGATTGTAGCGAGAATTTTGTACTCCTGCCGTGACCCTCTCCGTCAGCAAAAAATACCTGTAAAAAAGGTGCATTTTTACATGCATTCGATATTCCAGAATGTTCCGTGGTCCTTGAGGGCCCGGGAAATCAGAACGTTGACTGCATATTCTACTGGCTCAGCAACTTATTACCCAGGGCAGCATGCTGCCTAACAGCTAGTTGCTTGAGCCTCATTCCCCATGGCTTTTCTAGAACCCTCAACAGCTTGGTCATGGTGAGGTTCAGATAATGCTTTCCACAATGGAAAAATGTTTTATAAATGATTCCTAGGATGAAATAAGGGGCATTTTTTTTTTGTTTTGCAGAGGAATAGATGGAGAACATGTGTATAAATTTCGCGGTTAAAGTTCCTTATAGAAAAGTTTCCAGTGCTTGTCAAAACTTCAAATGCGATTTTCTCAGCTTCACATTTTTTGCCAGCCTGACCAGCCTCATGAAACTCTTCATCATGTTTTTGTGAAGTAATTTTTTAAAACTTTATACCATTAAACTCGTAAGAAACAGGACTGTGGAGCTATGCTATTTTATTGGGGCTAAGAGAAACATATGAAATGTTATGAAGAAGAATATGTACTAATCAAATTTTAATATTGTGGAGCATCAATGCAAATGAGAATTTTTTATATAATGATGTATCTCAGTAACAATATAAAGAGCATAGCTCCAAATGGCAGGTTTTTGGCTACTCCTGCATCCTAAACAGAACCTAAAAATATTGAGGGAAAGTGCCCTTAATGATCCATAACAAATTAAGTAATTAGACTTCATTTATATTCTAAATTTGATAACAGGTAGGCGTACATTAAAAAATGATTACATTTTTGAAAAGAGGAGGAAGAAATACATATCAACACCTAATTTCATTACAATATCTCACATAATGAAAATTTTCATCTTAAGATCAGCATCTCCCTTTAAGAAAACTATGAAGTACCATCCTGCCAGTGCTTCATCAACCTAGTGGAAAGAAATATTTATGTTTCTATATCTCATGAGAGTATGCTTGGGAATTCTCATTTTTCCCCCGCACTTTCCCAAAAAATATTCAAGAAATATTCAAAAAGTAGTCTATTCAATTCACACTCACACTTCTATATACAACTAAATTTTAACATTCGGATAGCTCTTGTAAAAAGCAATACTAATACGTATAGCAAAGTAAAGAATGTAATAAAGTAACTGTGGCTCACTTCTACCACACTGAAGCAAGGTTGAGTGCATCTCTGAAAATGATTGGAGAAGATGGCCTCTGCTTCCTTCCATCTTCATCACTCTGATGCATGCATCGGCCCACTGAGCTGCATCTCATCAACAAGTAAAATAGCGGCAGTGGGAAACATAATTGCTGCATGCGATTCTGTTGGCATGAAGAGCTGGAGGCGTGAAAGAACCAAGAACATGCAGCACATTTGCACGGCCAGCACGATGGCTCGCAAGACAATGCAAGAAGATGATGGATGGGAGGCATAAGCACATGTCAATGTTACCTCTCTATGAATAGCAATGACCAACATTTTGCTGACTGCATCTACCAAAACCAGTTTAGGGGCTAAAATACATTATTGGATAGCAAATACAGATCTTGAAGCCTATGTTTTTGCTAGCAGGAATCCATAATTGTGTCATTGACACCACTACACTGCAAGCCAAGCTGTGAAAATGGCTGCTGTGCTTGGCTAGTCACCTGGGCAAGCTCAGAGCACCCGTTCACAATGCATGATGTGTAAATGGTACTGCAGTTGAGATGTAAGATTCCCAATGAATTGGATCTTACGGGAGCTATGCAGGGAGTGTCCAAAAACACTGTATCAGCCATGGATAGCACGGTTCTACTGTTGTAGACTAGATGAGTAGAGCGACATTTCTACCTAATGCAGCACGTGATAAACTTATAGCTATAAAATGCATTTGTGATAAATTAACTAGTTATCCGAAGGAAACTACATCTTGAAAGCTCACCTGTCCATCTCCTCCTGGGAATGAGCAAAGGTGCAGTGGGCCCCACGAGGGCATGAGCCACGCTGGACCACATCCCGGCACAGGCTCGTTTTGTAGCGGGACCCACCCGAGTTGTGGCTCGGACTGCCACCCCCCGTCTCGGCCCTGCCCCTCCCGGGTGGAGACGACGGCGGCGGGGCTCCTCCACCCCCTCCGTTCATTCGCCGACCCCCAAATGCCCCCATGAATGCCACCAGCCCTTGAAGGCAGGCACGGGCTGCCAGAACACACCTCCTCAGTTCCTCCCACGTCGGTGCACCACCGTCTGCAGCCCACCCCCCCCAAGAGAAGCGCCCCGAGGTCATACAAAGCACCGAAGGACATACAACCTTACCACAGCAAATCCATTCTTAAATCAAGTAATACCCATTTCATACAGGCACGAGAACAAAAAGCTAACACAAAAGCAAAGTGTTCTTTAAACTTATTTCTGTCTTTCATGTCCTGTGCACTTTCTTCTGAACCACTTCTGCTCTCTTATGAGTCATTGATGGACGCTAGAGTATGGCTAATCATCGACAAGCCCATCACTATAGTTATTTTCAGCTATTTAATAAGCTCTGCAGCACATGTGGCATATTGCTGCTGTGAGCATACAGTATAATTTTAATAAATGATAACCAAAGCGTGCTGCTGTCACCATGCTGCATGCATCTTTATGTAGGACTGCTTTTAATGGGGGATGTGGCTTAGGAATTGCGAAAAATGGCAAAAAATCAATTTTCTGAAAATCAAGTTTTCAGTTTCTGGAACCCTTTTTCTATCTGATTCGAAAATATCTAAACTGAAAACCGTGCAGAAGTGCTTCGGAAAATTCATTTCACCCACCTAGGTAGCGAAACTTTTTCTGGAAATCGCGAGAAAACGGTCATTTTCAAAAAATTATGGCTTCGCGATGGCGGGGCCGGGAGCCGGCTTCTTGGGCTCATCAAAAAGAGCATTTTTCCGTGTTAAACTTTCCCGCCTCAGCTGGCTCCTCCCTTTAAAAACAAGCGCACAAAAAGCAAATGTTTAAAGATCGTTTTGAGGCCCTTGATTGGCTGTAACTGCCATGTTGCCTCAGCTCGCCTTGCCATTGGCCCGATGCTCGCTCCGGGAGATCGTCGTCTGCTGCTTGTGCGTTGCGAGGACATGGCTCTCGAAAATTACTACTTCGTGACGTGTTCACGGCTCGATGATCACTTATGATATAATTACACTTTAGTTAGGAGCAGTAGACGGATGCGCGATCAGGTTACTACGAGCGGGCGTGCTGTCTACGAACGTGGCGCGTCATCGGAGTCGGCTGTAGCCCCAACTCCGCCGACAGCGAGACTGCGGGCAAGTACAACGCGCTAGCGCACTTGTGGGGACGTGCTTGTTCGCAAGAAATGAAGCACATCGCTCGCTAGCTCCTCTGAACCACGTACGGGCATTTTACGCATTAACAGCGGACCACACAGTCAAGCTCGTTACCCCCCTCCCCCTCACTGCCAAAGATTACTCGGAACAGCGGCTAGCAGTTTCGCGCGTCATCACTCAAAAATGCAATGCCAACCGCTGTGCGCGCAGACTTTTTGTCATCATAGTTACACATTTCAAGCATCGTCACTGAACGCCGCCGGCAAGTGCATTACGTGCCGGCTGCACTGTCCACGGTCATATGAAGTGCTGTCAATAAGCTTTTGTGATGCAATTTAGACGTGCTTGGAGCCGTGCTTGATATCGCAACGAACGTCTATGAATGTTACGAGGCAATGAAAGCCTCGTAGATTAAAGTTTCCGCGACCGGCTGTATGATGATGTGTTTCACGGCTAGAGTGGCAAAAGAGCCTGTATGAATCAGTGGTACAAATTTTTATATGCCCGTTTCGCGTCATTAATTATAATGCTGAAAATTCCTGTGCCACCAGTCTTCTGCCCATAATTTTGTTATTTGGAAAGAAGGAATAGGCCGTCATGGTGTGATGCATTTTTCTGATTCAATAAACCTCTCTCCGAATAAAGAAGTGTTCAGTGATTATTTGTAATCAAGTACTTAATTATGCTAATTACAACTTCAGCACAAAAAATATGTGTAATCATTTCAGTATATGGTCTTATTCAATTACAATCTTTTCTGTCAAGCCTATTACACCACTCCTTCATACAAAGAACTTGGTTTGAAATCCATACTTGTTCTTTGTAAATCATGAAAAGGAGGTTATGGGAAAAAAAAGGCAACAAAGGCGCACTGGTCGGAGACCAGATGCCTGACAAGTCGAATATCACAAGACAAACCTGAGATCACCATCTTTAGGTGTCTTAGAGACGTAAAGAAAAGTTGAAACTTAGCTTTCTCTTCTCTCGACAAATCACGGATTAAGCCCAGTAAGCCCATCTACCTGCCATTGGCTGATTTGAACATGGCGCGCTCGGTTGTTACAGAGGTCGCCGCAAGAGGCCGTCACTTGTCCACGCATGCGCGTGCGATTGCACAGAAAAAGCTGCGTATTCGAAAAAAAAAAAAAATGTTCAGGGTCACGATGCGCCAGTGACTGCAGTTTTCTCAATACTTTTTTTCTTTTTTTGACATTATGCTCAGCCCCTCTACGAGGTTCAATGAAGAAATAATTTGTCTCTTGTAAAGTATTTGTGGTATCGCCTCAAAGTTTTTATGGAAGCACTGTGAGGTCATTCTTAGTGTATATGCCAATTTTCATCAATATCCAACGAGAAACAAGAAAGTTCATCAAAAAAAGCCTGTCGAAAACTTCGACAGGCTTTTTCTCACAAGTGTGCTTTGGACATTGCGCATTGCTCGAGGAAAGTGTAGCACTGGAATGACCGGACAAATTTTGATGCAGCTTTTTTTTTTCTGAATCCCAAAACATTTCTTGAGGGTATGGCAATCTTAGAATTCTTGTTTATGGCTCAATTTTTTTTTCTAGAAGATGACTTGTACATGACACTATTTCTGACAATGTGTGTAGACAGCCATGATGATCTCTATAAAAAAAGTGATAAAAAAATGTTGAGATTGTCATACCCAATAGTCTTCTTTTGAGTAAAGATCAACACCATTTGCAGCTTCCTGGAATGTTTTGTTACAGCGCTAGGCTTTCCACGAGCAGACCATATAAGTTGAACCACGTAGCATGATGCAACTTGAGAACTACTCAAGGTATCATGATGAAACTGCATATTTTCCTATTCAAGACACTTATGAGAATGCATGCCAAATTTCATTGCTCTAGGTCAACAAACAAAAAAGTTTTTTTGCAACGCCACCTCCCCCCTTAAGTGCACCTCACTCTGCAGAAGCTGAAGTAGCTTGCTGTTGCAGAGTTGACTCAACAAAGTACTTGTTGTGTTCATGCATGATTGAGTTCAATGCATGTGCGGAGAAGCCTCACCGACAAGACCCTTCAACAAAAAATGGGTGCAGCACTGTCGTAAACCTGCGACAGGATTTTATTAGGCAGCAACCCGAAAATTCTGCACTGGTTATTGTTGTTTTGTTCAAGTAGGCCTCTAGTGCGTCACAGGAACATCGAAGAACATTCCCACTTGCAGTAAATGTGTGCGCACAGTAAAGCAAGCACATCATCTGAGAAAATGATGCACTGCATGCAAGTAGCCAGAGACAAACGACTTCCTGCGGTAGCGAGGAAGTAGCCAATACTTGAAACAATGCAAGTTTTTGCTGACTAGCAGATTGCTACGCAGATGTGCAAAAGTACAGCGGAGAGCCAATGCATGTATCCATCCGCCCTGTTAGCCGTAGTGTGATCCGGACCCGGTCAGTTCGAAATGCTCCCTCGCACTACCACTGTGCGCTTATCAGACATCATGCTATAGAGCTCGATTTTTTTTTTCAATGCTTTCGTAAGATAAAAGAAAAAGGTGGGAAATGAGTACATTAGGTAGCGCTTGCTGTGATACTGCACTGTGATACTGAGATTCTTTGTTGGTAGCTATGACGCATGTCAGAAGATTCAAATGTACTCTTGCTGTTCATGCAAACAGCAGTGAAACCTCACTAATGCCTGCATAGCTACACACTAGTAAGCTTTAACTATTAGGTACAAAATTGCCTTTTTTGACATGCTCTGTTGCCGTCAGCAAAGAAATACAGTGCCACAGCAAATATTGCCCAAGTATCTTCCACCACAAAAGCCTTTTGCCTCTTTAAGCCTAAGTGCAGACAAGCTTCTGGCACACTCACAAAACTGTTCCTTGTGCGCGATGACGCCAAGGAGCATTTCGAAACTGTTCCAGGGTTCGCAATAAGAGACTGACATAGCAGCAGTGTGCACAGTAGTGGCTTTCCGTGATAGCAGCTGGTTTAGTTAATTTAAATCAGTCTTTGAGCTTCTTTGTTGGTAGCTATGACGCATGTCAGAAGATTCAAATGTACTCTTGCTGTTCATGCAAACAGCAGTGAAACCTCACTAATGCCTGCATAGCTACACACTAGTAAGCTTTAACCATTAGGTACAAAATTGCCTTTTTTGACATGCTCTGTTGCCGTCAGCAAAGAAATACAGTGCCACAGCAAATATTGCCCAAGTATCTTCCACCACAAAAGCCTTTTGCCTCTTTAAGCCTAAGTGCAGACAAGCTTCTGGCACACTCACAAAACTGTTCCTTGTGCGGGATGACGCCAAGGAGCATTTCGAAACTGTTCCAGGGTTCGCGATAAGAGACTGACATAGCAGCAGTGTGCACAGTAGTGGCTTTCCGTGATAGCAGCTGGTTTAGTTAATTTAAATCAGTCTGTCACAATAACTTGGAAACATAACTATATGCAGTATAACAAAAAATTGGATGTTTTAAGCCCATATGAACAGTAATTATACATTTTTGAACATTCATGAATGCCAAGCTGGAAAAGCAATCCCAAATATTTGACACACCGTAACTGTTGTTCAAATGGGTTTAGAAAATTTAATTTTGCTGTGATGAATAAAGTTATGACTCCAGATTATTGTGACATGCTGATTTACTATGCAACTCTCTCAGTTTAAAAAAAAAAAAAGAAACTTTGCCCCCCAAAAGGCAATCTAAAAACTTCATACAGTAGAATCCCGATAATTCGAATTCGAAGGGGCCCAAAAATTTGTTCGAATTAAAAGGAGTTCGAGTTAATGAAAGCTAAGTAAACGGAGGGCTCCCCATGCAGTGGCACATGTGCATTGAGCTAACGCACGAGGGGGAAATTTCAGAAGACTTACATTTATTCACAAATCACAGGACATTCATCATTAATTGAAGTAATCAGTGATGTGCGTCTGCACACATCTGCCTTGCAGCAAGTCAATCAATTTCACAGGCAACTTGCAAAGCATATCTGCTTCGGCTTCAGCATCCTCCTGGCAAGAGAAGTTGCGCGCGGCAATGTCCAGCGCGGACACTCTCTAAAGACAATGACGACAATGAGTGCATATCCGCTACTACGCTCTGCGCCAAAGCCGCAGCATGGCCAGCACGTGACGAGCAAGGAGGAGCGTCTCTACACGAAGAGAAGCATATCGGCATTTTTCTTTCTTTTTTTTTCTCTCGTCACGCGCGTATTGAAACGAGAAGGATTACGTGGCAGAGACAGGAAAGTGGGAAGCGTGGCATCGCTACGTGAGAGAGAGCCCAACTCCGCGACAGCTTCATTTTTTTATTTTTTTTTTCTCTGTCTCTTTTCGTGCGGTGTTGGAAGGAGAAGGGTCTTTACGTGGCAGGGGCGGAAAAGGGAGAAGTGTGGCACAGGCACATCGCAGATCGGCATTTGAGAGAGCGCAAACATTCCACCGCAGCCTTTTCTTTCCTTTTCCTTTCCTTGGCACGCAGAGTTGAGGTGTCGAAGGTGCCGCCGTGAGATCGGGGGGGGGGGGGGGGGGGTGCTGAGAGCATTCTCAGGGCACAATATGTTCGAATTAACCGTCGCAAGTGCTTGTGCGTTCGAATTACCGGGCGTTTTTGCCCATTGGAATACACATAGCTTTGACGGGACCTCATCGCGAGTTTGAATTAACCGGAAGTTCGAATTAAGAGTGTTCGAATTAATGAGATTCGACTGTATTTTAATAACTACATAGTATACAGTATAGACTGCTTATAACGTAAGTCGCGAATATCCACACGATAAGCGGTACCGCACTATAACCAAAACAACCTTTTTCAAGGGCTGCACTTGCGCGAAATGTGTTGAGCATGCAGCTTCGCATGTCCGAGAATCGAAACATGCGTTGCGTGCTTGCTAACATTTAAATTTCTGAATGTTAAAAGAATTTAACGTTCAAAGACACACGTTGCCAATGAAATGAACGCGAAAGGAGGGGGGGGGGGCATGACTAACAAATGAAAGCACCATCGCGGAAATTCGCAGACTACCAGACCGCCTCGATTATGCGCATTACACAAAACTGTCGAATCACATCCAGAATTTGATGTGTTGAAAGACGCCAACAATTCGATTTCATGGGCGCGCATCCTATTTAAGAAATCGCAATCGACTCGCGAACCACTGTATGAGCGCTACACGTGCCGCCCTAGTTTTTATTTAACGATATGTACCTCTTCCCGTCAAGTGCGGCCACCGCTAAGAGTTTCGTTGATTCGGTACCAAACCGCAACTTAGATACACGCGACTGCTACCAATTGAAGCGCAACCAACGCCGATAAGGCCTAGCTTGCCGTTTGGTACGTTGTTGCGGAAAGCTTTTCCAAAACATGCGGATTCAGCCTCAAAAAGATCGCACTAGCAGTGAACCAAGAACCACGTGCATGATACGAAGTTCGCGTTCGCAGCCGGGGAGATCCGCAACAAGGGCCGATAATTCGCCACGCTTACGTACGATAGCACACTGGCAGAAAAAATGAACGCTCGCGTCATAAAATCATACAAGGTTTTCAATATATGGACGAGGAAGCAAACGACGCCTTTCCCGACAGAAAATTGTTAAGCGCATGTAGTTGATAACGACGGGATCGCACGTGCCACGTTGAGCGGTGCGCGGCCGAAGCCACACTAGTCGGCTTTGGCGCCGGGGCAAAGGCTAATCGCTGACCGAGGCAACCGTCCTCCTCCCTCACCGAAGGCAGCGCGGTAAAGCAGCCAAGCATAGAGTTACTGTATATGCTACCTTTAGCATATACAGTAACTCTAGCCAAGCGGGATTTTCGAAGCGGCGAGTGCATGAGCTTGTTCAGACCGCAGGCCTCCTATGGATCACTGCGCGGCAGAATAGTGTCCTTGTGACATGTCCCTGTGACGTGTCAGCGCTTCTCCCAAACGTACACTCTCGCCTCTGTTGCGTGGCGTTCTGATTGGCTGTGGCAAAGCAGCGAGCCTCGGCAGGTGGCTAAAATTGCTCAGAGAGTGATAACTCTTGCCGCCTGGTTTTTCTCCCACTTTCGTTGCCTGGAGAGGAGGTTTTTTATGCTTTCCACGCAGCTGCCTCACCGCTTTGGCCACCCCGCCTTCGGTGTGAATGAGCTCTTCGGCGAGCCTGCGTAGTGCCCGCGATCTTTTTATTTATTTTTTACTTTTTTTCTTCCCTCCGCCCTTAGTTCGTTCACTCCATGTCCCCTCCTCCTCTGTAACGACCTTGCTGTTCGCTCCCCAGCGGTGCAACGAGCGCTACTCGCTACCGCGTTTGTCACAAACAATTTCTAGCAACCGCATTATAACCAGCCTTTTATCTTGGGGGACTGCACAATAAGCGGCATGTGTGTACACGAGATACTATGAGAGGGTAAACGGGAGTGGAAAAGGCTGCATTGTAAGTGGTTCTGCACTATAGGCGGTTATGGTATAAGTGGTCTACACTGTACTAGAAAAGTGATTGCATATTTGAAATAAATACCCGGACATACATGAATTAAACAGCAGATAAAAATTGATCGCAGAATAAGACGACATTTTTAAAGTACCACGTCCCCTTTTATCATGGAGTACTAGCGCCACCTGTTAAAGACTAGAAGCAACGCATGCAAGTGGGGAAGGAGCAAGCAAAAGCACCACAGATGTGTGCAGATAAGCCTGCCGTCATGGTCAGCAAGAGCTAATAGGGGTAGCACATGCCAACACCACCAGCCAACCAGCAGCCCAGCCTTACCTGGCGGCGGTTCCCAACGGGCAAGGAAATCAAAGTGTGGCCGCAGCGCAGCCAGTCCCGCAGGGTCGCCCGTCCTCTGCAGCGCAAGCGACAGCTCGTGAACGCTCTGGGCAAAGGACTGCGGGCTCTGCAGTTTGTCCACCAGCGACTGCATATGCGACCGGTGAGCCGCATCGCCATAGAGAAGCGATGACCACTGCTCAGGTGCGATCCGCAGGCCTGCCTCGCTGGCAATCTGGACAATCTGCGCGTCATGCTCTCTCCGCAGAGCCTCATACGTGCAGAACTCTTCCTTGAGCTGCATCAGCGATGAGTCGCCTTCTCGCTTGGACACCTGTGCCAGCAATGGACAGAGCGTAAGCTGCAGTAGTGTATAACAAGCACAAAATATTCCGCCAGCACAAACAGGAATGGACAACCCAAGCATAAAAAATATACTGCAGCAGGTGTCACTAGAACAAATTTTTGAGCTGAGCTGCATCAGTTACCTTTCTCGAAAGAAAACTTGTTAAAGCCAAGTTATGACCAATTTAACTGGGTATGTGTGGCATGCATGGTATGGTACGAATAATTTTATTGAGGTCCTGATGATTCAATCTGGGACGGACACGAGACCACTCCCACGTTAGGACAGAGAAGCCAAAGCCCTCTGCCTCACACGGGCCCTCCGGACAGCCCGGAGTTAGTTTGGAAGCACATATTACACTATCGAAATATACGGATGATTCGGGGCTGATGCGAAGGTACAAGTTACGCGCGAGTTCAAATGCACAAGTTGGTTTCACAGCATTGCTTCACGGTAATGTAAGAAAGCCAATAGCATAGTAACGTGCAAGTGTTCATTTTCATTTTCTGACAATTGCAGTTGACAGTGCTGGTTTTATGCAGAAAAGGTCCCACACAAAGTACAGCGTGTGTCCAGATACGAACAAATGCATGGCCTTGGTTGCCTGTCCCCATTTTTGTAAAATTTATTTCATGTGCGGGTTTTAGACCTAGAACAATGATTTCAATGTTAGTTATTCAAAAAGAAAAAATCGTTTGCCCAAATAGGTATAATAATTTTGGCCACAGAAAAACAGTAAAACTTCTTTTGGGCCTAGTTAGTTCATAATCCTAGAAGTACATTTACGGCACAAACGCAAATACACACCAAAAAAAGTTATGACACAAAAAAAGACTACAAATACAAGCGCTGTGTGTGTCGTCTCTTTTTTTATGATGTGTCTTTACATTTGCGCTATAAAAGTGCTCCTAGCACAGAAAAACAATTTTCTGTCAAGTGTGCAACTTTTCAACTTGCAATCCCCAAGCAATTTTGAGGGAAAAAAAAAATCACTATGTGGCAAACTGCACCAAATACTTGTACTTAAAGAATATATTGCTGCAGAATGGTTCGACTGAGGACACCAAAACTCTGAACATATTTGCATTGATATCTAAGCTTTCTTTTGAAAAAGTTGGTGGTGTTTGCTCTCTCCGTAATACTTCAAATTTGTGCTTAAACAAATGTAGTTTACCAAAAACACTGAGGTTCAAAAATAGTTCCCTCAGAAAGCCAATATTGAATTTTTGAAAAAAAAAAAATGTCAAATTGAAGTCAAGGACATAGAGTACAATTCCGCACACAGAAAAGCTGCATTATTCATGTTGCTAAGAAGTTATGGGCTACATGAGATCAACTCAGCCTAGTGATCATGCCATTGTGTGCTGCAAATCCCATAAAAGTTAAAAAACATTATATGATACATATTGCAGCAGCTGTTCCAAAAAAATGTTGCATCGCACGGCAAGCCTTGTTTTATGCAGAGGAGTCTTGAAGGGCGAGTTGGTACATGATACTGAGGGGGAAGCAGCGCAAAAACGGGACAAAAAAAGAATGACCACACAACACAAGCCCCAATGAACAACTGTGTGTATGTTTATTGCACTGGAAAACATATAGCTAAAAAAAGAAACAAGACAACAACCATCACGTGTGCATAAAGATGAAATGCAAGATGAGTGTGCCACGAGTCAAAATGTTCCAAGTTAACAGCTCAAAAACATCATCTTTTTTTTTTTTGAGAAAGGCGAGTGAAGGCTCACGGACGCACATGTTCCCTTTCTTCTAGATATGGAAGGCTTTGTTGATTTCGTGCTGGATCGAGCGCCGCAACTCTTACAGCAAATATTAAGTGACAGAAATTATGAGGCAAGTGTCTTCACAGATTATTTTTCAACAATTGTCATGATACCCTGCATACATTCTAGGCTTTCTATGCAAAAATATATATAACAGTAAACATGTGCACTTATACCAAAAGGTACACCTCATTCAACCCAATTCTTGGTTATGGTCCCAGTGTGGCCACTGTAAGAATTCCAACATGAAACTTTCAGTACTGGAAGTTATTTTCCCGAATATACTTTCTATATAACTGCTGCAGCCCTAAACCAGCGACAGTTCTTGGAAAAAGAAAGTGCAATCACGAGACTAACTATGGGATGTCTCTAGCATTTTTCTTTGTTTGCACTCATTAATATATATAATTTCACTAACAAAAAACTGCCATCAGATAGTTGGCAAGAATTAGAACCCATTGTGGCTGTCAAGAGCACAATGACAAAAACCTCGTGCATTCAACACACACTCAAGGTTGAAATCTAAAAATCTAAGTGTTAACGACTTTCAATTTATTTATTTATTTATTTATTTACTTAGCAATACTGCCAATCTCACAAGGAGACCATTGCAGGGAGGCATACATAATACAAGTGCATACACAATACAAGGGTATACATAATACAGAAAGACAGGGGAAAAAAACAATTATTATGTCCACAGAAACTGCGTAGCACGTACATTTGATTCTATCATCTCTAAGAACATGAGTAAAGATGAGGCGTTAATAACAGTAGGACTGTTACTAACGCCTGAACATCATGCGGATCGTTTAGAATATCAAAGAGCCTGAACTACAGTGAAGTGTGGCAGGTGCAAAAAGTAGAACAAGCGCACCTTGAAGCAAGATGCCCTGTAGAGCAGCTGCACCACATGGCCAATGCTGGTCTTTGATGCCTGGGGGAAATGCGGCGCCAGGCGCTGAACCACGAACAGCACCAATACCTGCACGTGGCGAACATTCAAGTAAATCTTTACTCTCTTTGATTCTTGCAAAACACACAGCAAAGCGACATTAGGGGAACCACAGGCAAAATGTTTTCCACAAAATGCATTTGTGCACGCCCTAGCTTGCACTTTCCCAAACCAGACCACTTCCCCATAAACAAAATCACCTTGACACGCTTTCTAGAAGTCTCGAATTACGTGTAAAGTGACCCACCAGTGAGCCATTTGGCACATTTTCTAGGTGAGCAGCGACCCATTTTATGCACTTGTGCATACTCACTCCAAAGAAATGGCGCTACTACCTTCACCGTTGGCATTTAGTATGACTGTTTGAAGGATACAGAGCTACTCCTTGCCTCTTTTGCATAAGCTTATGCTAAAATCTAAAGCAGGTGGCACCAAGAAACACAAACACGTTTGTTTTCTCCACAATGTGCTTTCTTTTACATCCCTAAAAGGCACGATCAATTAGTCACACTAAAGTCTTTGAAAGCAGGAGGAACAACAGCTGCACATATTTGAGTGAAGTGTATTTTAAAGAAAATGTGGCGAAATGAAGGCAGGCTATAACACAACAGAGAAATACACTGCCACACTCCTCCTATAAATTTTTTTTTCAAACAGAGCCATTTCATATCTAATGCAATAAAAAAATATATATACTGGTTGCATTTCCAAACTTTTGACGACCGCCCGCGACGGAGAGTTCTTGCGCATGGGTGGGTCACACCCTATGCGGCATAGCGACGTTTTCATCGAGTGCATTGTGAACCACTGTTGGGTTACGCCATCTAACACCAGAAAAGTATACTTCCGGCTATTCATAACCTCTTGCAACAAGAATCGTACTTCTGTGTTCAAGTGTGACAAAGTTCTTGCATCTGCAAGCAGAGGCATACTCATAACATTGCAGCAGCATAGAAGGAGTACAGGCTGTCACTCATGACATAGTAAACATGTTTAATTGCTGAGCAAAACGCGGCCAAATACAAGATAATTCCTTTTGCACAGTAACCTATAGACCTGGCGTCAGAGCGCTGTGCACCACATAAAAATTAAACTTTGCTGCTAGCTGCCACATAGTGATGCGGGTGATACTTAAGCAGTACTCTCACAAACCTAGATAACTTGATATTTTGTTGTTTTAGGGTCATATTGATGAATTCTATCTCACATGCCAGTTTCGTGGCACCAATGCATTATTCTGAAAGCACATTTCATGAAACGAATCAATTGAGCATGAAACTGAAACCATGTTTAGCGCAATCAGCAACAGCCAACCACAGTGGAAAATTTAGCAGCATTGCCAACACAAAATGGTGACATAATGCATTTTAAAGCTAGCCCGCAGACGCACTTATCACAGTTGACTGCAGTCTGTCCACGTCAAATTATTTCCCGGAGAAGTGAAAATAGTGCTGGCCCCTTTCACTGTGAAAGCTCATTTGAAAGTTATTTCGCCCACTAAGGAAAGCTATGTTCAGTCTTTTACATGCCCTAAACCTATGTCCACGAGTGGTGCAAACAAACGAAGGTCTTCAGCAGCACGTCCACCTGGAAAAGCTTCTTTTTGGAATGAAATTTAGTTGCGAGTCAGTGCTGTAGTTTGTGTTCTCTATTCTCGTCGCCGTTTTTGTAGCGCTAATATTTGTTTAAGATGGAAGTTTCTACAGGTGAAAAATGAGAGTATATGCAGACCTCGATTACAAGCGTGCAGGTATTCAAACAGCTCCGTGCAGACCTTAGCTCCTTAAAATAAGTGGTTGAGGTGAATCCAGGAGTGACATTAAAGCCAGCCAAATCGGTCACTGACGCAAATCTCACTTTCTGCGAGCATTAGGCTTGTGCAAACAGTGAATTTTAGGTTCAAAGTGAATTCGAAGCAAATAGCGGTTTTGGTTAAATAATTTTGAATCGAATTCGAATAGTATATATGAAATACAAAGAAAAATGGGCATAATTATCATGAAATAACTAACCTGCACGATACTTTTTAAAAATTGAAATAGAGCCTATGCAAATGCCTTTACTTTTTCCCCTGAAAGGAAGTCGAGAAAACTTCCAGGATTGCAGGATTTGACTTTCGGCAGGATGCGAGTCATAACCGTAAAATACATATAACTTATTATACTTAGAAAACAAAAAACCACCATAATAAGTTTTAAGTTTAATAAGATGAATTCAGTTTAGGATAATATTTTAATTTAATGTGGGCCTGCTACACTTCTTCAAGTAGCCCTGGAATGGATCCTCTAAAAAAGCTTATTGCCCCATGAATTCACAGCCACAAAAAATTTTTAGAATCCGTCCAGTACGAGCGAAGTTGCGAAGATTTGTGACACGTTGCAAGTGCATTCTTCTCGTCCCGACGAAAACGTTGGAAACTAAGCAGAGAGGAATGGCACGGGGAAAGCAAATACGCCACGCGTGCTTCTTGAGCTTGTGGAGTCAATTGCTGAGAGAAGAGAGCAATTTTTAGCTCACTTTGAGAATTTATTGTGAATTGCAGGCCGCATGCTGTGCTATAATATTTGGCTCGCATGTCCTCGGTAGCCTCGACTACCGATCGGCAGCGTTTTCTAACAATGCTCAAAAAAGCGTTGCAGGGCCCCTTTAAATTTGAAAGAGGGCTTCAGGCAAAACTAGTTTTTCCTGAATAAATGCTTTCACGGTTCAATACCTCTACACTGCAGCGAAGCAATCTTTACAGGTGGAACAATCAGATCAATACAGTTACACCTGCTTATAAAGAACCCCTATATAACGAATTCTTCAACATAACGAAGTTTCTCTATTCCCCGCCGTTGCTCCATAGAAACCCATGTATTTGCGACCTCTACGCAACAAACAACCTTGATATAGTGAATTTTCCCCACGAACAATCTAGAAATTTTACTCCGCATTTTGGTACGAGTATGCATCTCCCGCGACTGCCTCGCCGCTGACGAAGAGAGAGAGGTTCAGGAAAAGGAAAGACGAACTTCTGCAGCCCTAATTGTGAGCACGGCTCAGCGCAAAATGGCGGTGGCGTGCATGGCGCACCAAGCGAGAGCGATCGCTCGTTATGGGGCGCGGGTGGGTGAGCGCAAGGCGGGCCTGCACCCCACGAGCCGGCATGCGCAGGTGTCCCCCCCCCCCCCCCCCCATACTCAAAACCAAAAGAAAACCACTTTTGCGCGTTGGCAGTGCCACGCTTTTAGTCAGTGTCACATATGCGGGGCCATGCTGCACATGGAGGGCGCTTTACCGAATAGTTTTCCGCAGTGTCCATGTCGTTCGCTCTTCGGTTTTGACGCCATGCGCGCATGCATAGTTTCACTGTGCGTGCATGGTGTGGCCCCCGAAGATGTTCAGCTTTGCTTTCTTTTTTTTTTATTGCAATACCGACTATATGGACAGTATCGGCTGGTCTTTTGCCATTGCCAGCACCATTCACACATATCTAAAACAAAACAAAAAATGCCCGCGCAGGGCGTCGAGTTTGTCAAGATGCGCCGACGCGCACTTATCTCCCACGTGTACTTTGCCCCATGATTGGGTAGCGGAGTAGATGCTTGTGAGTGCGTTTATCTTTCAGTGAAGGGAATCGCGCGCCTTCAACTTTGACCAGAACGATTACATTTAGTTGCCAGGCACACAAAGATCCCATCGCTCGCAACACAGGCGCCGTTTGCGAAAACATTGCACTTTTGAAACACAGCGAAGTAGTAACTGGGGCACATTGTTGATTCGAACTCATATCTGTACCTGTGATTACGTTTGCCTCGTTTCTGTTTCAAGAGCGCATTAAGTGTCGAGCGGTAAAAGTTGTTTGTGCGCTCTCGTCCTGTGCATGTTGTTTTTGTGTGTCATTTGTGGGTGCGCAGCGCGCTGTCTGTTTCGATTTGCTTGCCGTTCTCAGCGTTAATTCCAAGTTGTTGCTATCACATTGCTTCGCCCTTGCGGCGAAATTGTGACTATTGTTAATTTTGGACAACCATGTCGTCCCCCCGAGGCGATGTCAGATTAGGCGCTAATGGAAATTCTCTTATACCACGGTAACGACGGATATTCGGAGGTCGGTTCCGTCTTGCGCCCCGAGTTCGCAGACTGGTAGCTTTCGCGATTAGCCGATTAGTTCTGGCAACAACACGACAGCGCACTGAATGGAATGCAATTAACGCAATAGCAAAAAATTGTAATGTTATAAGAAGTAAGGCTGGCAGCCAACTCTTTTGGATCTGATATCGCAGAGCTCGTACAAAATGCTGGTGTGAGCAAATACAGCCGCTCCAGGGAGAAGTGCTCTTTTCACACAGTCCCTTCGCGTTGACTGCACTGATACGCACGGAAATATCAAGCGCATCAGCGATCACGACCGCCCTTAAAATCCAAGTTCATTATTACTACTCGAGCGATTCCCCTCCCCCCTTCCCCGCGTTGTTTCATGCTCGTTCAAAATGGGTGGTTTACTTTCTGTTTGAGCATTCGACGGCAGTTCTAACACGCGGGAGATATTTTATGCACTTTCCAGGCGATAAGAATGAGCCGACTCATTTGATCTCTGCTTCAGCAGCGCTCGTGCACTTTTACCTGCTCGTGAAATTTATGATGCGCATGGGCATGTTATCAATTTGGACTTGTTACGGAACATGGCGGCGACAGCGAAAACCTGCCGAGAGCGTCCATATAATTGCTATCACAATAATAACACAGTTTTTTACAATAAAATGGGTGTTTTGGGTTAGCTCTGCCTTCAGTCCTCCTTTTGTTTAATTTGCCCGTTTACTTTCCGAATTTTCGTACCGAACTTGCATATAATTGATTGATTTGTGAAGTTTAGCATCCCAAAACCACCATATGATTATGAGAGAAACCATAGCGGAGGGTTTCAGAAATTTCGACCACCTGGGGTTCTTTAACGTGCACCCAAATTTGAGCACACGGGCCTACAACATTTCCGCCTCCATCGAAAACGCAGCTGCCGCAGCCGGGATTCGATCCCGCGACCTGCGGGTCGGCAGCCGAGTACCTTAGCCACTAGACCACCGTGGCGGGGCCCGAACTTGCATATAGAGAAATCCTCTTTATAACAAATTTTTCCGGAAATTTATCAATTTCGTTATACCCACGTTTAACTGTATGCATTTATTTGTTCCTTGCTAATACTTCAAAATTTTCAATAATTTAAATTCGTATCAAAGCGAATTCAAATACCCTACTATTCGCTCGAATATTCGAAGCATTTGAATATTCGCACAAGTCCAGCGAGCATGCATTGTGCTTGTATTTTTTGTTTTCTGATTGCCAAAATAGGGGAATGTATGTTTTAAAAGATCTCTTAATACTGCAAACAGATACATTATTTTGAACTCTAAGAAATTGCATGCGTGTGACTTTTGACAAATACACTACTGTAAGCAAATGCTGTGCTTTTCACTTAGATGCACTTTTTCTAGTCTGTGTGCACTGATCAAGCCAGCTCGTCTAAAAATAGCTTCAAGTAGTGGTGATAGCCATTAACATTTCCAACAGATCAAAGTTTGCAAGGAGAATTGGATTTGCGCACATCATTTAGAAGCGCTGTGATTTGACTAAGAACATGAGGCTATTATATTTATTTTCTCGCACACCCCTACCTAACTTATTTTAGCTCCACGTGGATTGAAGTAATTCGATTTTCTGGTGAATCTCACATTTTCCCCCTCCCCCCCAACCTCCCAATTCCCAATTTCAGACATTTCCCGTCGTTAGCACTATTGGCATGATTGACTTTGCATACTAACAACCAGCCCTCTAAGATGCCCTTGAGGCGTTAACTGCTGGTAGGACACAGTCCTTGGAAAGGTCCCGAAATAAGAATTGAAAACCTGCATCATCTTCCTAGTGCCGTAATATTTCCACAGAATGTACTAAGTCTCTTGCAAGATTGATTGACTGACCACATGGACAACAGTACAAATGAGTGAGGGGCCAACATTATTGACATACAGACCTTGCGCGACAGGGGTGACCCATCTTCGAGGGCAAGGAGGACCAGCCTCAACACTTCCTCCTGCATGTGGGGCCCCAGAAACTGGCAGCCACGGGCACGTACGGCTGCCCACAGGGCAGCGCTCAGCTGTTGGCCCCCTCCGCCTGCTCCGCCGCCAGCCTGGCTGTGCTGGTGGTGCTGGAGGAGAAGCTCAAGGGCACAGCGCTCGCCCAGCGAGCGTGCTGCACGGGCCGCCCGGGCCCGCCCCTCTGGCTCGGACAACGAGCAGTGCACCAGGGCAACCAGCTTGCGTTGCAAGGGCCGGCTCAGCCAACACCCACCTGTCGAAGAAAAACACAGGACTGTGAAACAAAAACACCAGATCAGCACACGCATATGAAAACGTAACCGCACCCAAGAACCTCACAGAGCAACTGATAAAGGTATTCTATATCCCAAAACAATGAATGGTTATAAGAGATGCCACAGTGCACGGATTAACATTGATTACCTTTAACATGCTCATATGAATGTACAACAATGCACAAAAGTATACAAACCACGGGAGCGTGTGCATAGTTGCAATGATATGCTATTTCCTGGTGTGGTGACTGTTCTCAAGATGCCAACAAGAGCAGCGATGAGGATGCCGGTCTCATCATATCCACTTGCTGATATGTAGCTTTGCCTGACGTGGTTGATGCTCATCTACTGAAAATTAACTGCGCATCACTTTCTCCACTTCGCCGTGCATCTGCATCGTTCTTTTAAACAGTGACTGGCTCACACATCTCTTTTATTCTTTTTCATTTATTGTGCTTTGACATATGGCGCCAAACATGGGGACCATTTGTGATAATGAAACAGTGCATAAAGAAAGAAAACCCATTTTACAGGAGTAATCTAAAGGCACTAAAGAAAGTGTGTCATGTGACAAATAAAAAAAAAAAGAAAATGATGCGTGATGTACGAGTGAGCCAGCACAGCAGCAATGTATAACTATTGCTGATGCAAATGAGCAGAGAAAGCAACACCCAGCTTATGCCGACTCGATGAGCACCCTAACCATGCCAGGCAAAGCTTGTAAGGTCTCGACGTGGAAGAGCGCCACCACACTCAGTGAACAAACACAGCAGACACAAAGCGAACCAAGCCAAACACATTTGACTACTTTTAGAACGACGATATCGTCAGCCGAATTAATATACATATTGTGATCAACACGCTAAACAACCTTACACAGTAATACAAAACACTCAACACATAACAAACTCTAGGCAGTGTTGTCAACGCTTGACTTACCACAACGGCCCACAGTAGACAACCGCGGCGCCGTCAACTGCAGACCTCCACAAGAGCCAACCGCTCGTTCCAATCACCACACGCCAGAGATACCCGCTCATCTCTCCCGTGCCGCCACCCAGACTTGCCGCCAGGAGTCATTGCCGGTGCTACTACTTTAACCATGATGATGATGGTGGTGATTAATTTTTGCGGGCACTACGCCACCTACCGCTTGATAGTTGTGACCCTTAAATGCGGCTTATGTGCGAGACACGTGTGCCACGCAGAGCAAGCAGCTTTACAAGGAATGTTAGCCCCCCTACAAGGTACTGGGATACTTGATAGTATGTGCATGCACACCACTGCTTTAGTGCCCCTGTTTACACCTGACCCTGCAATAGCAGATGTTGTGTCAATGCAATTTCGGCCTGTGTTCCCATAGTCCATATACTTTTGCTCCCAGTTGTATACTCGCGCCACGTGGGCTGGCTCAACCAACGCACACCTTTTAAAAAACATAAGCAAGGCGATGTAACGATTGAAACAAATATGTTAGAGCAGCACATGCACATGACAGTGTGATTTCATTCAATCGAGAAGTTCTTCATCCCAAAATAATGTCTACGAGATACCACAATGTAGTGATTATACTTGATTTCCCTCATCATAGACGCTCGATAATTTAAAGTCGAAGTAATCTCACCACTGTTCGAATAATCAAGTTTGAATATTAAAATTCTCATAAATATAGCTTGGAGCAGCATACGAACTTCTGTTGTAATATTTATTGTTTCTCGCTGCCGCCGCAGCATCATAGAACGCTCTGCATAATTGCCAGTAAAGTTTTTATATGTAAGCAATAATACTAGTACTCATCATATATAATGTAAGGCATGTGTAATTAAAAAGACCTCCTATACACAATGACCAGACCATCCCACCTTTTTTTAACAGCGAAGCTGTTCTTGGTTGAGCCTTTAATGTCCAAGAACTGTCGTAAGTTGTAGTAGAATTATGCTCTCGCAACAAATATCTGCCCCTCCTCCTACCATGCCTACTATGCACTACTCACATAACTCGCCCCTACGCTCCCGTCACTCCTCGCACTTCATTCTATTTCAATCTCATTTCATTCCCACTGCATCTCAGTTCACTGAAACCCCTTCATGTAGCCCCAATGCATCCTACAACATCACCGTTTCATCAGTGTCTGCAAAGCGGAGCTGGCTGAATTTTGTTTTTTTTTTTTTCATCAGTCGGTAAGCAATTGCTGGTGCATGTGGTCTGGCAAGTTTGGACATTTTGTAGGCAGACAATTGGCTTCATTTGAGACTGTTAGTGACAGAAAAACACTAACATTTAGCTAGAAACAACAACAGCAGCTGATATTTCCAGATACAGAGAAGCAAAAAGTATAGCTAAATGTATGCGATGAAGCATCTTGATTAGCGTCACGAATTGGGCTGGTCTGGTTGGTACAGAGACGAGAAGACCCAAACACGGCGTACAAAGACGATAAGACAAAAACACGGAGCCGTGTTTGTGTCTTCTCATCTCTGTCCCACTCTAGGGCTCTTTTTTCTTTCAAAGCGTCTTAAACTGAGTGGCTCTAAAATACAGTTGAACCACTTTATAAGAGACACTGATATAAAAGACAGTGAGTATAAGACACTAGTCTGCCTGCAGTAAAATACGCATTGATAAGAAAATAGATGCGAGGTACCCTGTTTATAAGAGCCATCTCATATAAAAGACAAGAGCTGCTGCCCGGAGCATGGCTCGTATAAAGGGGTTTAACTGTATAACGAAAGCATAGCGGGCCAACAAAAAATTTTAATTTTGTGTGAATCAACCAAAGCATTGATTTATCAAACCTTGAATTATTGAGTCTGCTACAGTAAAACCTCGTGCATTTGAAGTCACTGGGGCGGTGAGAAATCTTCGAATTAAGCGGGTTTTCAAATGAACAGAACAGAAAAAATGGGAGGCAGGAAACTTGCAATGAAGTAACCAGGGCTGATCATTTGCTGTGTCGGCTAGTTTGCGGCTTCGAGGATTGTGTTTTTCCGCAACACCTGGTCTTAATTTTTGCCGCAAACACGGAGGAATGGTGGGCCTTGCTGCTGTCACAAAAAGAAAAAAGAGAGAGAGAAAATGATAACGCTGTCATGATCAACTCAAATGTGTGCCTGCAGAAAACAAAATGTGCTTCGCTGCAACGCAGTACTGACAAGCGGGCAGCATATCACCTGCTCAATGGGTCAGAACGTCATGATGTGACCATTTGCGCATTTTTTCTGGTAAAATAATGAATTTAATAATAGCCAGTGTGACGAAATTCGTGATATGTTTTGGCTGAAGAACATGATCACTGATGCTTTAGAACTTAGTTTGAGAAGTAGGCGTTGCAGGCAAGAACTTCGCCAGCAGTGCAAGTGGGCAAATTGCTGGAGCCACTAGTAATCAGAGGTTCGCATACATCGCGAATTCCACCAAACTGTCCTTTATTAAATTTTTTTACAATCCCAATAAGAATGGGTAAATTATGACGCGCTGACGTAGCGACAGACATGTAATATGCTGCCCGCGCGTCTCACCAATGTATTTCAATGAAGCATGTCTTGTTTTCTGCAGGCGCATGTATCGGTTGACCATGAGACCGTTTTTTCCCCCCTTTTTTTTTGTGCTATAAGTCGCAACGCTGGGGTGTTTAAGCTAACACTTATTAATATTGCTACGTTGCATTGCCTTATGGCTCTTAAAGGCATTCTTTTCCGCGGATTTGCGCTGAAATTGGGATTGGGAATTGGTACATATAGCACCCAAAAATTTTTTTAATTAACCAGCCTGGTGCAGACTACCGCTTCAAATTATCTGCTCAGATTTACATTGCAAAATACGGGACCACGAAAATGTTTCGAATTAAGCGGGATTTCGAAAAAACCGAGTTAGAATTAATGAGGTTTCGCTGTATATGCCTGTACACAAACACTTTTGCATTTTAACCTCATCAAATGTGGCTTCCGCAGCATGGAACTGCACCCATGACCTTGGTATCAGAAGTAGAATGCCACGACCACAAAGCCACCACGACAAAGTCAAGACAACAACGGGCATTAGACGGATGTAAAATATTGTAGCGAACAAAAAAAATGTGTGCTGAACATACCTATGATACGATTAAGTATAGAATTCTTAAAAACCACTTTTTTTTAATTGTGCGACTGACAGCTTACCCTTTGCAGTGTTTATTGCTGCAGTTATTTTAGAGAAGCAGTATTTTTCTATATGAAAGGCTCTAAACACAGATGTATCTCTCCTCCAGCAATGCTGAGAATTGATAACGATGCTGCCCAACCTTCTCGCACTTTGTGAAAGCCGCCGTCATTCTGCTTTCACAGATGTTCTTGTTAACTGAGCTTAACAACCGTCATTTAGAGCTTTTAAAGTACTTTAAAATGAGCTGTTACAATGAGAGGATGTGAGATTATACACCTTCCCTGTATTTTCACAAAGAAAAAGAAAGGGTTGCTTTGAGTCAATTACAGATCATCTTTCCATTAGTACAGTCATCTTATTTCCTGTTCTGGACAGTTGTCAGTCCCTTTAAATTGGCACTGTACCGTTGAAATTAGGAATTTGCACATGTTTCATTGGCTACATACGAAATTCTCCATTACATTTCTAATGCTTGCAGAGATGTTCTACAGTACACGACCATGGCAGTGACAATAAACCTCATACACATCATTTTACCTGTTCATTAAAAAATGTATGTATGTATACCATTATTATAAACAGTTAAGTAAGAAATAGGTAAAAATAAAAACATCTTGGAGTACTTAATAGCCAGCTACAGCTGAGCCCCTTCATAAGAGACACTAATGATAAGACAAATGGATATAAGAGACACCAGTGTGCCAGCATGAAAAAAAGGTATTCAGAAGAAAACGCAGACGTCGTACCCTGCTTATCATAAGAAAGGAATGGATCTCCGGTGCAAGTCTCTTATAATGTTGTTTAACTGTATTTCAGCAAAGCAAAGCTCGAAATTTCATACTGTCCCCATTTAGATAGTAGAATACAAAGAGCACATACATGCAGCCTTGGGGCACTAAAGAGGTACCACCATCTGTGTAGCCAAGTGCAAAGAATAAATTCTGCTTTAAAATCCTCACACAGAGTAGCCACCAGAAAGAACTAACATTACTGTCACTCCCAATTTGACCGGCCATTACACACATTCCTGCACGAGCTGAAAGATGGCACACGAAGGCTTCTACTTGCCACGAAAGAAAGTGTAGGCATGACTGAAACAGACTCTACTTGCCCTTGTTGCAACAAACTCTTTCTTTTCTGATTATCCTCAAATGACATAAAAACACTTGGTTGAAGAAAAAACGGAAGGTGCATGCACTCACTCCATGAACAACCTTGGAGCCCATGCAGCCAATCAATCTCGTTCTTCAAGTAAGATTAAGTCCAACGATAGTACACTTAAACTTAGATATAACGAACCTAGATATAACAAGGTATTGGTTATAGCAAAGTAAATGAAAAATAGTTTTACAATAGATATAGTGTTAAAAATAAACCTTTATAACAAATTTTAAGACATAACAAACCTAATTTCGTCTAAGATGCAACTTTGTTATAACAAGGTTTGAGTGTAATAACTGTAAGGGTTTTACATACTGCAAGTACAATACGATTATGAGGGACACCATAGTGAAGGCTCTGGAATTTTCAACCATCCGGTGTTCATTAACACGCGCCTAAGTTCAATTACACGGGCCTCCAGCATTCTGCCTTTAAAAATGCAGCCACTATAGCCAGGATTCAATACCTGGATTTAATAACATTTGAAGAAAGTAGTAGCAAGCTGACCCCCACTCAGGTTGTGTGCCAAATGAATGAGAGAATAAGAAGACAGAAGGTATAACCAGTGGCAGTGCGTCATGCTCCCATCACTATGGCACACTTTTGATGCCAGACACAAGCCACAATGGCCAAACGGGAATGGTAGTGCAACATATACAACAGAAAAAGAGAATTTTTAGAAGTGGCAAACACAGGGCCAGACAATACCTACATTTCACAAGAACATGTAGCCTCGAATTCATAAACAGCAGGGCAACAAATTAAGACTCTGACAAGTACATGTTTTGACGAACGAACTGGTATTCCCCGGGGACGTGATTGAGGAGAACCCTGCTGTCAAACATGGGCTCCAAATGTAGGCCACAAAGACAGCTAGGAATAGGGTCACTGTGGCAATTAATAGTGGAAAAACAGCACAACTTTTATACATATGAAGAACCAAACAGGTGCCATTAGCTGTACCATTTTACCCCGTGAATTTCAGCCCATTAGGGCAACTTTTTGCAGTGGGACAATGGTAATGATGACTTGCCCTGAGCAGCAGGCCTGAGAAGGAGTGCCATCTCGTGGACACACCGTGTAACTGCTTGCTCGGCACTCTCTTCCGGAGCTCCAGTGGCACCAGCAGGTGCAACTGCTGGAACCACAGGGGTACCAGCTGCCACTGCTGCCGCCACGGGTGGAGGAGGGGGCGCAGAGACTAGGTGAAGGCGCGGGGGAAGTCCATTCTCAGGTAGATGGCACCTCTGCCGCGGTTGCTGCTGCTGCTTCCGCTGCTGCTGATGATGATGGTGCTGCTGCGGCTGCTGCTGCTGCGGCTGCTGCTGCTGCTGCTGCTGCTGCGGCTGCGGCTGCTGCTGCTGTCGTTGGGAGTGATGGGCATGGCACTGGGGTGCGTGACATCCTCCTTCAGGAGGTGCAGCACGGCCACGGCAGCAACAGCAGGCATTGCGGGCTGCGGCTGCAGCCATGCTGCCCCACGAATGAGGGGGCGGAGCCTGCACAGGCATGCTGGCTGCTGCCCCCCCGGTGGGTAAACCTCGCCGGCCCACGGCGCCCTGTGCCGGACCGAAAAGGAGTCACTGCTTTGGAAGGGAGAGCGAACAGTGAATTTTAGAACCAATTGAACGGTTGAAACACCAAATTAAATATGATTACAATAAGACTGAAATGATATTTTAATGGTATGGCAATAATTTTCAAAACAGCCCTGGAATGCTGCAACACTTTATTGGAAAAAAATACAGTCGAACCTTCTTATAAGAGACACCGGTGTGCCTACAGTAAAATATGGTTTGATAAGAAAATGCCTACGAGATACCCTGCTTAGAGACAACTCACATAAAAAAACAAAAATTGCAGCCTGGAGCATGCCTCTTATAAAGGGGTTAAACTGAATTCAGAATTTTTAACAATGTAACATTATAATTACTCTTTGCCAAAAGATACACCCAGATTATGTAAACTGAGATATATATAGCAGCAACACGAGCCCGAGATATTTTGTAGGTGTAGGTTGTAATACAGCAGTGACTACACTTATTCTACATGACATTTAATTGTCTCCTTTTCAGTAAGACTTAGCCATAAAGATAAAACTATGTTCCATGAATAAGCTCCATAGCAGATCTCGGAAGAATACAGACACTCGCTTTGGCGAGAGTAGGGACTTCATCCAGAGATCAAAACAGAGTCAACAGTCCTGTAAAACTTGGGCTGCATGCGTCTCGGTAATTCAAAATTTAAAACAATTGAAACAATCCCTCACTATTCAAACATTTCTTTTTTTCTTTGATGTTTACCCATCAGAGCAGATTATTTAAATAAATATTTGAGTAAATATTTCAAACTTTGATTATGAACCACCATTCAATTTAGTAGCAAACATTAGAGTGCTATTCAATCCATTCTTCGAAGCTTTCTAATGTTAGCACATGTCTAATGCTTTGTACAAGTGAAGAAAATGGAGGCACAGCTGCAGCAAAATGGCCCGCAATTTTTCTGCAGTCATCCATCACGATGACCATAATAGAAAAGAAGCCCCTTTATCGCCTAGAATCTGAACCCACACTATGTTCAAGAAACTGGGCCAGTTGATAAGGCTGGCAACAGTGCAAAAGCCAACAGCCAAGAATCATGTCAGCCACACTCTGTTCCTTGCACTGCTTCTGTGCGTGAAGGCCCAATAATGTGCTATGCACGTCTCAGACTTCGCTCGCTGCAAGACCGTAAGAAGAGAAAAGAGAATTGACAATTTGCCTTTATATATAAAGCTGCAAATGGCAAGACCCTAGAACACATGCAAATTAATGTTTTCACACTTGCCCAAAGCCCTTAGTGACAGAGAAAGAACTGGGCCATGCATAAATTTCTCCAACGAGCACATTTAACTGTTGCATGCAAACAAAACAAAGAAGGCATTAAAAATATGCCCAATTTATTATTAAAATTCGATCCTAACAGAACATATTTTCAATATTTCAGCAAGAAATAAGGTGTTAAATTATAATCATGAAATTCGTAATTGTATAGTTGCAAAGGCATTGTCACAGTTTTTTTTTTTCAAGTACTGCAGAAACTCTTTCTTTGTCAAATGCGCTATTCTCGGAGAGAGACTATCAGACAAGAATGCAGGTCGAAGGGGAGAAGCTGCATCCGGGCGGTCATTGTGTGGCGCCCAAACGAGCGAGCCACCGCTGGGGCATTCAAGATGACCAGGCACCGAAACTTAAGCTCTTGTTTACACGTCGAGGTTGCTTTCAAGAATGTGCTCTTTTCAGAAAACTATTACAGTTCTGTTACGAGGCAGGATTCACGCGACCACGTAGAGTTGAGTTTGAATTGGTTATCTACGGCTTGCCTGATTGGTCCGTATAAGCCGTTTTCCCATTGGTAGAAAACAGTGGTCTTCCACGCAGTCCACGTAACCGTGGATGCTGAAAAATCTTATTTAAACAGCGACGTAGGCTCTCTCTGTGAGAGCATACTAGAGGTCAACAGCGCATCTCACTACCCCTGACAACAGCACCAGTCTGCAAGCCAAAGGGCATGCCATCATTTTCTCTGCGTTGTATTTGTGATTCAATGCATTTTAAATTCCAGTTGTGATAGATAAATAAACACCCAATGAGTGCTCCTCGAAATTATAGTATCGACTTATAGCTTGCCTGTGCAGAAGTGCTCCCACACTTCCCACACGTCTCGCTGCTCTTCATATGTGTCTAGCTTAGACACCCCAAAAACTCTCTACAGTAAGATAGCAACCAAAGAGAAAGCATTTGACCAGAGAAAGTGTTTTAGAAAACTACTTACAACAACCATAACTTCACTAAGATGAATATGTGAAGATTACTATTATTTTTTTTCTTACTTTGCTACGTGAAAGTTTATTAATGAAAGTAAGGAATGAATCAACGGCATCATTTCTTTGCTCGAAAAAGCTTAATGAAACGAAAGAAAGCATAGGAGCACTACTTGTTGTTCTTCTCAAAGGGACCAGCAGCGCTTTTTCAGCATGGTCAGAAAACGCTGCTGATCGGTAGTTAGGACTCGAGAAAACACGCAAGCCAATTATTATTGCACAGCACGCAACCTGAAATGCACAATAAATTCTCCAAAGTCAGTAAAACATTGCTTTGTTTTCTCTCGCGAAATGACACTACAGTCTCAAAAATCACTGCGCCACATCCCAAGTATCAGACATTGGCTGATTTGAGCATGGCACACTCAATTGTTACAAGGGCCACCACTGGAGGCCGCAACTTGGTCTTTGCGTGTACAGTCTGTTTCTCACTTAGGGGAAATCTTGAAATACATGAATCAAGCTGCAGTCAAGCGCCGGCAGCAGCTCGCGCATGCACAGACACTTGAAGGGCTGTAGTATTGAATCATGTCATCTATTATAGTGGCACGCGAGTACAACGCTGGCAGCACCGTGTGTTATGCGATCCGAGATTTCTTTCAAGTGTGAAAGAGACTGTACGTGCGATCGCTCTGAAAAGCCGCGCATTTGAAGCACAAAAAAAAGAGAGAGGGAGAAAAAAAAGCCTCAAGGTCACGAGGCATGCATGACATATTTTCTTTTCTCGTGCCACCCCTTCCTGCTTAGCTTTCAGCGCTTTCTTCAGGATCAGAGAGGAAAGAATGCAATTGTAGCATGCGACAGCTGCGCTCTTACTGGATGGGTTCTAAAAATTTTTGCAGTGGCAAAATTCATGAGACAATATGCTCCTATAATGAATCCATTCCATGGATATTTAGAAAAGTGTTGCAGGGCCCATTTAAATGAAGTTTGGCAATTGTGACGAAATGTGGTGAATCGAAGTGGACGAAAATACTCAGCGGATGCTTCAGCTTCTCCTTCAGTTCATATTTACTAGCCATGCTTTCACTTCTGAGTGGGCATCTCAACCATGCCGTGAGGCATGAAACATTTGTTCAGGCCACATTGGCCACGGCAAATTTTCCTACATCTACTGCTGCAAATACAGCTGCAAAATACCCACTGTGCATCTGTGAAGTAATACCCAATGCCTGCACACTTTGCTGATGCTGTGGTTGATGACGAAATATGAGTTGGCCCATTGTAATGGGTGGGCAGCCTTGATCACCCACTTGTTATGCGACTCCCATGGTACGACGCATGGTGAGAGTCCACTAGTATGCAGCTTTACATTTGTTAGCGTGACTCTTTCCCCGACATCATGCCCCAACAAGGCCTTTTTTCGCAGTAGTTTCTAGCACTGCTGTGGCTCTACAGCAGAATACTCGACAGCTACACAGAATTCCTACGATAGATTCCACCTAAAACCATGATTTTTATTCTCTGAATTCATAGGAATTTTTGGCACATAAACAACGCTACTGGTGCCAAGATCATATTTTCTGCTACACAGGTTTTTTTAAAGCCATCACATTAAAAACAACTTCCCACCCATGGGGAATGAACCAATGATTGAGCAACAGAAGCCATTATTGCCCCGCCTGCTTTACTAGATTATTTCTGCACATTTAAAGGACACTGCAGTGAAACAGTAAGTTTTTATTCAATTGGTACCTTATATCCTGAAAACTCTATTGCTATTCATTCCACTACCGAAAGTTCATTAATTCACGGCTTCAACTTTCGACGTGCTCGCCACCTAGAAACCGCACCAGGAAACAGTGCTAACAGGGTCAACCTTGAAAGGAAACATGTGACCACGTTGCGCGTGTTGAGACGTGGCCGCATAGTTCCTGTCTTTTCGACATACTGCACGCACAAGCCTGAAAAAAAAAAAAGAAAGCGATGTCCAGAGACCACTGCAGTGTGTTGCAATGCATGGCATCGTGGTGGAATGATGGCAAAATATCGTTTTATTATTTCCTGACGGATGCAGACGACCAGCGGAGAACGTTGCAAATCAGATACTTATGCATTGGAAAGAAGGAGACGGACACTATGGTAGTTTGTTCTAATCCATTCACTGGCGACGACTTAATTATCCTCAGTGAGTACACCATTATTTAACTTGCGTGCATTCTTACCAATATTTGCCCTTCTCTAGCATAGAGTCCCGTTTTGTTTATATAAGCAAGCGCTTAAGAAAAATTTTTGCATTACATGTATGACTGCATTTCTCACATATGCTTGTTTTCTATGGAAGTCCTAGTGTTACACAATCTCAAATTAAGCTACTGTAATCCTTCCTCCTGAACATTTTTTATTTCACATGTGTGTATATTTTTGATTTCACATGTGTGTACGCGCACACAATAGGCATGCACACCTTCTGTGTGCACGCAGTGAGGTGAGTGACCTTTGGAGACCTCCGCCACATACATACCGGCAAAGCATCACGGCTGCTACTTGTTTGCTTTGTACGTGCTTGTGTAAACCATGTGTACATGTGTGCAGGTGCTTTTACATATGTGTATATGTTTGTGCCTATATATACCATGTTCGTGCATTTGTAGCGTGCGTAGTCTACTTTGAATATCATCTACTTCCAACACGAACAAGCGAGTGTTTGGAACCACACCACCTTATTCATTAGAAACCTAATAACATGGATCGAAGAACAGAAAGGAAGGAGAACTCCTATTA